AGTATAAATGACTGGCTCGAGGTCACACAGTCAACTTAACAGCTAAGATGATTATGACATGGCAGGATTCCACTTCCCTTCCCCCTTTGAAGTTGATGTAGCCATGTGACTCACTTTATCCAATCAAATGTGGGTAGAAATTGCATATAGCACTTCTGGATGGAAGCTTTAAGAACTTGCCACATTTCTTAGAAGCACACGTTGAAATGAGGCCTCTATCTGCCTAAGTCACTGAGTGACTAAAATGAGCATAGTCTACCTGCCTACCAATGATAGTATTAAGGGAGAAATAAGTTTTTATTATGTTAAGCCACTGAGATTTGGGAAGATTTTGTTATCACAGCAGAGCCTGGGTTCTCCTGACTGAGACAGGTAGAACTAAGAATGGGAGCCCAAGTAATCGAATGCCTCATACAACTTCTGTTGCATTACCTTGTCCCAGTCAACAATAGACACTCACGAGTCTTACCTACCAATGACTTCTCCCCCTCACCCACTGGACTATTCTTGGATTGAATGAAGTGGATTATTTATGGCATGAAGGGAAGACAGCTGCAGAATTCCAGCCCCTGACAGGTTTTAGACAGACATTGACAGCTTGGCTCTGCTTATTTGATATACCAGATACCTACCCCCTTCCTAAAAGTGTGCCTTGTATTAATTTGTCTTAGTGAATAGAATATTTTAGAGAGAGTGAGCTTTTCATAAAGTATTGAGATTAGCAGCCATATCTCCTAAAGATGCAGAGTCAGGTGTAATTGGCCAGATATGTATTTGACTGGTTTTTTAAAGGTTGTAATGAGTTTTAAGGATAATTAGTTACATAACCTAACAGGCTTATTACTTTCTATTTGGCAAATGCATTAATAGTAAAACAATTTATATTGGCATCAAAAATGTTCAACTGATTTTTCAAAAACATTTTTGATTGGTTAAATGAATCTAACTAGAGTTTTAAAAAAGTAGTTTCTATATGTAGAGTATCATTTATATTTATGTTATTTAACCAATGAAAGAAGATTACACAAAAGAAGAGGATGTAGATTTTAAATACGGCTTTTTTGATTTTAGGATAAATCAATACATATAAATTTTTGTTGACACACACCACGAAGTTAATAGTGTGTAGGTCTAGGTCAACTTTATATTCATCCTTACATTTTTTTGCATCCTCTAAATTTTATGTATAGACTCTATATGTTTAATATCACCTGGATTTTCCCATAGACTATACTTACAATCAAAGAGTCTGATCAAGTGTGTCCTAAGTAATGGTAAAGTTAGGTTTCCTTCTCTGAGATTGGCTGGCTATCTTTGGGGTCACTGTAGGCCAGCTTGAAAGTTAATCTGAGCCCGCTGTGTTGTCTGATGAGGGCAGACCCAGAACGTGACCACACGGGCCTGGATGAGACCCTGGACCACACTGGGTATAGCCTCTCCATTTCAATGAGAAGGGAACTGAGGCCCACAGAAGGGATGTGCCCACAGCCACAGAGCTAGTGAGTGAACGAGAACTAGAACCCAGGTCTGTCTGATGCCAAAGTTCATATACTTTCCAGCACCCTCCAATTTTGAGGGGGTTGTAAGCCCCTGGTTTGCATTATTGTACTAGATGCTCTTTTGAAATGTAGGTAGACATCATGAGATTCCCCATATTCTGGTACCATTTGCCAATTGCAGTGCACTTTACCATTAAAGCATTTAAAAATGCATTATCTTGGGGTGCCTGTGTGGCTCAGTCAGTTAAGTATCTGACTCTTGGTTTCCGCTCAGGTCATGATCTCACAGTTTGTGAGTCTGAGCCCTGCGTCAGGCTCTGCTTTGGCAGCGTGCAGAGCCCGCTTGGGATTCTGTTTCTCTCTCCCTCTCTCTGCCCCTCCCCTGCTCACAGTCTTTCTCTCTCTCTCAAAACAAATAAATAAACTCAAAAAAATAATTAAAAGAAATAAAATAAAAATGTGCTATCTCACTTAAACCTATGATAAATAACTCTGTGGGCCACAAAGGACAGTTAGCACCAAAACTCTGTCCTCTTGTTTTCTTGGCCTGTCTTTCCACATCAGCATGCTTCCTCACCTTCATATGCTCAGCGTGAAAAACCATGTGGTACCACCATATCTTGGTGCCTCTGTTCCTCTACTATGTGCTTTAGGGCAAGTGCTTGAACGCCCTGAACTTGAGTTCCCTCCTGTGTAAAATGAGCATAATAATCTAAGTTTTCCAGATGATCAAAGGAAATCACACAGGTAGGATGCAGGGCCGGGTTCATTTCTATGCTGCAGTTCACCAGGTCGTCCCACCCACCGATGCATTCAACTGATGGTTTCATGGCATGCCCCTTCTATTCCCTTCTATAGCATCTTCTCTATGTCATAGGCTGGTGCCCTCTGCCTCACCAAACCCTGCCCCTCCAACACAGTGTCACCTCCTCTGAGAAGGATGCCCTGACTCCTTTAACCAAACCAAGCGCTCCCACTTTTGAATCCCTATTGAAATTATGGTTCTTGCCACACTTTCTTATACTTTTGGCTTTATCACTAACTGGGTGACTGCCTTCTGTATATACTGTGCCATGTTGGTCAAGGATCTTTTATAACAGACAAAGCTGGATCTTTAACTCAGGCTTTCAAACATTTTTGGTATCTATATATCTACCTATCTATCCATCCTTACACACACATATATATGGGTATATATGTATACCATATACACACATGTGTGCATGTGTGTGTGTGTGTGTGTATGCATACATATATATTTTTGATAACTCAGCTCTTGTTTTTGCTCCATTAGAAGAATAGATCAAGGCCTGGAAGATTCTGTTTTTCTTCCCGAGCTTTGAAAAGCAAAGATAAATGTGAACACTAAACAGGGACAGAGGGAAGTATGCTTGGGAATGGAGAAGGGGACAAGAATGGCTAAATACATTATCTCATTTAACCCTCAGAACAACCCTGTTGTGAGGTCCACTTTACAGATGAGGAAAGTGAGGCCTGGAACGGTTAAGTGCTACATCCAAGGTTGCAGATGCAGATTAGATAGACCCCTAACTATGCCTCGTTCTGAAGTTGATGGGTTGTTTTGGGTTTTTTGTTTGTTTGTTTTTTGTTGGTTTTTTTGTTTTTTGGTTTTTTGTTTTTTTTTTTTTTTTCCAAAACCAGGCTGTGTCCCTCTTGCCAGCTGTGGGGTAGTGGTTGGGTGCTGAGCTGGACTCCTCTTGTTTAATTCTGGTCCTGCCACTTTCTTGCTACATGACCTTGGGTGAGTTACCTAATTCTAGGCCTTGGTTCTGTCATCAATAAAATGGGAGTGATACAAAAAGAATGATTACTTCAGGAAAAGGTTGTGAAGCACTTGGAAGTGCTTTAGGTTTAGGTTTATAGCACTTTCAGCAAGGGAAGCACTTGGAAAAGTTCTTGGAGCAGAGATAGGCCTCTGTCGGCATGAGCAATGGTCATGGGGTGTCCCCATGAAGGGAGCAATGGCCCCGGCAGCACCCAGCAGGTCCAGGAGGACCCCACTTCCTCTGCACCTAACGTCTCCTTTGTGCCCCTTCCCCAAGCCCAGGACCCAGGCATGGCCCCAGCTGCTCACGTCATCACAGCATCCATTCCCATTCTTTCTGCAGGTGGTTTCAGCTAAGGCACAGGTGGAGTTTTGATGACTGGAAATACACCTTGTGGAAAACCAGTGAGAGCAAAACTCTTCAATACGCTCCATTTTATCAATTTCTTCTCTTGGGTTTGCAGTTCACACAGCAGCAGCTTCAGTTTCTTCTTCATTTTCATATCTCCCTTAGTCCTCAACATGGTTAGGAAAATGCCCAGGGTCACACAGCTACTAAATGAAGGAGCTGGGATCTGAACCCAAGCCACCTGACTCCAGACCATGCCTGCTTAACTACTACCCCACAGGACCTCCCCCTGTCGTTATGGAATATGCCTTGAGGACAGGCATCACCTCCCACCAGACTTCCCGCCGTGGCTGGCACCTAGCAGCTTGCTCATAATAAATCATCAGTACCCACTGACAGACTTGCCTGACAACATTATATGTTGTAATCTCTTCTCTTCAGAGCTGCTTATGCCAGGGTTGAACTGGAGAAAAGTTAAAATATTCATTCATTCATTCATTCACTCACTTATTCATCAAATGTGTACTGAATGACTAATCAGGGCCAGACTCCAAGCTCGGCGGCGTTAGAGGAATAAAAACATGTAAGACAAGATCCCTGCACTCTAGCTCCATGGGCAGTGGGGGTGGGGGCAGTGCAGGGATTCTCAACCCTGCAGAGACATTTTCATCTGCTGAGGAGATTTAAAAAAAAAAAATACTAATGCCTGGGCCTCACCGCCTGTATTTCTGATTTAGTTGATCTGAGGTGGGATCCCAGGCTTTGTGTGTTGTTGTTGTTTTTTAATAATAAACTTTTTATTTTAGGACAGGTTTAGGTTTATAGAATTATTATGAGGGTTGTAGAGAGAGTTCCTGTCTACACCATTCCTAATTTCCCCTACAATTAACATCTTACATCAGTACAGTACATTTGCCAAAATTAATGTACCAGTATTGATGTATTGTTATCAACTGAAGCTAATATTTTATTTAAATTTCCACACTTTCTCTCTAATGTCCTTCTCCTGTCCCAAGATCCTATCCAGTGTACCACATTACATTTAGTTATCTTGTCTCCTTGGGCTTCCCTTGTCTCTGACAGTTTCTTGGCTTTGGTTTTTTGGTCTCTTTAAAAGTTCTTCAGATTCAAATACACAGGGTTTAGGACCTCTGGTCTGGGGTCAAAAGCATGGAAATTTTAGAGATTAGGCTGTTTGGGCTCAAACTCTGGCTGGGCTACTTAATAGCTATGTGAACTTGGTACAGTAAGTAAGCCTGTGGGGCCTCCATTTTCTCACATATAAAATGGGGATATCAGTGGTACCTATCCCATTAATTTGTGAAGGTCTAATGAGGCTAATATTTCTCACTTTTTTACATCATAGCACCCAGAGAAATGGAAGAAACTACTCACAGCCAAGAATTAGAGAACCAAAGATTTGAGCCACCTGTAGCTCTGGTAATGCCACTTTAGGAAGTTCTGGGTTAACATCTGTTGAGGCACATGAGAATGTGCATGGTCTCTGTGGCAGACTCTGGGTGACCAGCGACGGACAAACCCCAAGGCACCTCGTAATACCGTGAGTTACAAGAGCAGCCAGGCTGCTGACACATGAAGAATGCAGAGCGCCTGGCAAATTAAGCGCCGGCATTTGGAAACCGAAGGCTCGAGATCTCTTGTCAGGAGCCTCCAAGGCGAATCCCTCCAGCAACTACTGCCTCTCTGGCGCCACCATCTGGTATCCGCTGGGCGGTTTGCTGTCACCAGAACTTGTCAAAACTGGAAAAAAAATTTTTTTTTCAATAGATTTTTACTTTATTGGGAAATTGAAGACTTGGATACATTAAATGAAATCCACTTCTAGGGGAGAAAAATTTAAAAATCACAACAGAAAAAATGCTAACACCCTCCAGGCCATAGCAGAACCCAGAGAATACATTCATCCAATCGAAAAATTCTAGGCACTTCATAATTGACCTTTTGATACAAAATGATCTATTAAATTTGCAAGTCGTGGTTCTGGGTGTTGAGGTTTATAGGACAAGCTTCAAACCTTGAGCTGATTCCATGAGGAGTTGTCTTTTGAATCAGGTTTTCCTTGTTTAAGAGGGCACAGCAGCACCAGCACCCACCTTCTGGCCGCTTCTTTCTTGGCCTGGTGAGCCTGCACCGCGGCGCCATCCACCCTGGAGCCGGCAACCACCGCAGGTGCAGCAGCTTGCAGTTGCCAATCTCCAGCAACATTCCCTGAATCTTTCCAGCCAGCTTTGAATACGATGTTTGGGTAAGTGGGAGCAAACTTTCTCCCAGCATCTGCTTCTGGTTTCTGCAACCAGCATGGAGGTGTTGAGGGGGTGGGGGTCCTGCCCCCACGCGTGCACCACGGTCTGCGGTGCCCACAGACTCCGGAAGATGATGGCGGAGGCCACTGCAGGCACGTTTGCATGGTGCAAAGACACTGACCATTTGATTCCAGCCAAACTTTGTTTCCTCAAAGCTGATCTGGGGATCAAGTTCCAGATTCCAGCGTTCAGTACATCTTCAGTAACAGGAAGTCTTCTGTCCCCCCTACTTGCTAGGTATGCATTTCTTGAGGTGGAAGAAATTAGAGATGTCAACAATTGTTAACTCACGATGGTTTTCTTTACAATTTGCCCACAGATGTGTCAGCGCCATCCCTACCGGCCAGTCCTTGCACCTTTGAGACCAAGAGAGATTCATGGATGATTTAGAAATAATAAGAAATGCTGATGTGCAGAAAAGTCTTCTCACTGTTATAAAGCATTTGTGTTCCTCATCTTATAGTGAAATGTATAAATGGCAAGAGTTTTATGGGTGACAGATCAGGGTTCAAATTTTAGCCTTACTATGTAACCATGGGTAAATTACTTAATTTCCCTGGGCTTCCATCCCCTCATCTATAAAGTCAGAATAAAAATGCCATCCTCAAAGGCTGCTGGAGGGGTTGTGGGAGAGGAGATGGGCTAAATGGGTAAGGGGCATTAAGGAATCTACTCCTGAAATCATTGTTTCACTATAGCTAACTAATTTGGATGTAAATTTTAAAAAATAAAAAATAAAATTAAAAATAAATAAATAAACATTAAAAAAAATATGCCATCCTCAAAGTGTTGCATTGCGAGGATTAAGAAGAACAGTAAGTGCTAAGCTTAACACCCGGCACATGGCAAAAACTCAGTCAAGAAGAGCTAGGACTATGATGATTCCCACCACAACTTTGTAAGGCAGGGGAGGCTTCCCTAATAGATCAAGAAATTAGAGCCCCAGAGACAGGAATGACTGATCCACATGAGTGGCAGAGCCTCTTGGGGCTCAAACTCTGATTCTCTAGGCACTCGGTCTGGGGCCCTTTCCTCACACCATATATATGGTGCCTGTTCTCCCGGCCAAGTCTGCAGACACTCAGCTGAGATGGAGAGCTCAGGGCTGGAGAAACAGCCACATCAGAGGGAGCCAAATAGGGAGTGGGGGGCCCACCAGATAAGCATGAGTGGGTGCACAGAGCTCAGGAGCCTCAGAGCTTGAGTCTGTGGCAGGGAGGGCCAGAGGGGTGTGGGAGGCTGAGGTCCTTGGCATGAAAGGACAGATGGCCTAACAAGCAGCCAATGAAGCCTGACTCAGGGTGTGCCACCGTGACATGAGAAGCCAGAGGCTGGAGACTAGGAGACATGAAGAACGCAGAAATAGAGGGAGGGAAACCTCATCAAGAGGCCCCAAGGTAGTATTAACTGAAGACGGCATCCGCCTTTTGGACATGGCAAGTGAAAACAGTCTATGGTAAAGTCAGTTAAGGTAGTCCTTTAGGATTCCTTCTAATGACCAAAAAAAAAAAAAAAAAAGTATCTTTCCTTAGCAAACCAAGCAACATTCCCTTCATCTCCAAATTCAAGTCAAATTCTTCCAAGTCTAACAGTTAAGTGAAATTATCTGGGAGAAATAGACTTAATCAGATTGATCTGGGCTGCTCTGATGCCCATGTGATTTGTCTGTGTGATGTCCATGTAATCAGAATCTCTTTAAGCTTGTCTTTAGAGAACGAGGAGTCAAGGAATCTTAGAATGAAAGGTCATGCAACTCAAATTTCCCTCCAGGGCATGAAAGTAGATGCTTGAACTGAGGACGAGGAGCTTGCTCCCCACCAGGGCAGCCCCTTACGTATATGGACAGCTCTGAATTTTAGAAAATGTTTCCTTGTTTGCCTGTCAGGATTCCTTCAACTACCAGCGACAGAAAAGCCCAGCTGAAACTCATCACCAAAAAATAAAAAATTAAGGAATACATCGTGTGGTGGACTCTTGATGTGCCAACCAGTAGGACATTTAGCACCAGCTGCTGGAGAGCTGGCTGCCAATAGCCTTTAACCCTCAATTCCTTCAGGGATTGCTTTGCTGCCTCAGCCTTTCTTGGGGTGACTTACTTATTGAGTAATCAATGCTGGAGCATAGATGTCTGGGTAGTCTCCACCCAACTCCTATAATTCTGGAAGGATATCCTAGTTCAGAGCTCCTCCTGGGCATGGCTGAAGCTGTTGTAAGGCCTGTGTTTGGCTTGAGTTCTTCCTCTGCAACTTCTGCTCCCTTCCCTTCTCAAGTGTTCATCCCCAGGACACTTCTCAATAAAATCCTGCACCCCAGACTCCATTTCAGAGTCCACTTCCCAGGGAACAAAATTGTGGCATATGGGCTCACCTAACTGAGAGATCTATAGGATATCAGGCACAGCTGGTTCCAGTTCCAGGGGCTCAGAATGAAAGAGTTGGGGCACAGTGTTATCCCCTCTCTTAGCTGTGTGCTCCTTTGTGTTGATTTCACCTTCAGATATATGCACTTGTCAATCCAGAGCGGGAGAAGGTTTTTACAAGCATCTTCATAGACGTTCAAAATATACTTCTCATTGAACTGATCTAAGTCACAAGCTGATTCTTAGACAATCATTGTGATTAGAAAGGATAGGGTATGCTGATTATCTTAGACCAGAGCCATAAGATCACCTAGTTGAAGGGAAAGACTCACCCCACCAAAATGACCGTGCTGGCCAAGAGTAAAACGAGGCTGTTCCCTGAACAAGATGTGGGTTATGTGACAAGAAAAGCAGAAGCCATGCAGGCAAACCCCACAAAGTTCTACCCCAGTGTTTCTACATGGGACTCAGACCCCATGCTGTTCCCATCCATGGGGCCACATGAGGCCAAAGTCTAAGTTCTCTCCACCAGATTGCCCTTCACGTATCTGAAGAGCTCCATTCCACCCCCACCTCCAGTCTGCTCCCCCCTCCCCCGGTTTCTGACCTTCCATCTTCTCCTATGGCTTGGTCCTGAGCCCTCTTCCCCTCTCAGGGCATTTTCTTCTAAAAGCAATCTATCATTTGTCTTTAGTTTCCAAGTGTGCTACCCAGGATGAAATACAAGGCCCTTAGGAAAGTACAAAATAATCACTTCTCTCCTTCATACTCTACTTCTCTTGGTGGGGTCCAGAAATAAAAATAATAGGCTTTTCTTGGTGGACAAAACATGGACTTGTGACAAGGTCAGCTCTCTACTTGCAAAAACATCCTATTTGCTGCATGCACTTATTTCTAAGTGGCTTTCCCAAGTGCCAGGGCTGTCTGTCGCCTATTGCCTCACTCCACAGCTGTGCAGTTAGGGTTTAGAACAATGTTCTGTATAACAAATTGCAATCCTATATGTAGTGATGGGATGTCAGAGCTCATGCTACCTTGATTCTGTGTGTAAGTGTATAAAAATCACATGAGTGAGAAAAAGGACTAGATCCAAATCTTGGTTTTGAAGCCTGAGCTCCAACTTCTCAAGAGGTAGGACCTTTGCAGTCACTTAATTGCTCAATCTCCATTTCATCACATCTAAAATGAGTTAAAAATAGTTACCTTATGTGAGGTGCACATATTAAAGTCACATATATATGCTTTGAAAAGTATGTGAATGGGTATATACACACAGTATAAAACACTTTATAAACTGTTTTTCTTACCATATACAAACGTTACAGTATAAAATGTTTTTCTTACTGCAGGTCACAGTTTAAAAATCTGAAAAAAGAAAAAATACCACTATTCCACACCATGTGCTCCAAAGTGCCCAGGCCTATGTCTTATTCACTTTTGTGCACACAGATACACAAACATACACATGTGCACACACACACACACACACACACACACACTGAAACAAAACTGACTCATTACATATGAACAGGTAAAAAGTAAAGTAGTAAATGTGATTTTATTACTATTCAAATACGATATAGAAAAAAATCCCCCAAATAAAGATCACAAAATCTAAGTGCACTGGTCATGACCCATTACACTGATTTCACAGTCCATCAGTGATTGCAACTCAGTTTCAAAAACATGGGTCTGGTACAAGAGGCAGATGAGCAGATAACGATTCCAACAGAGTATAAACGCCACCCTGAGGAAACTACCCCTACCATGTGGAAGCCCAAAGGGGGATGCCAGAGGAGATCCAGGAGGTTGGAGGGCTCCCTAGAGAAAGTTGCATTTAAGCTGAAGTTGAAGGATGAATAGGAGTTGCAGAGGTTGGGGGTGAGAGAGGCCTGGACAAGCTTGGAGAGCTACTAGCAGAAGGAAATGTCTGTGCAGAGAGAAAACAAACCCCTGGCCTCTTGCCATGCAATACAAGGGAAGGCAAAACCAGTATTTCCTACCTAAAATATCACGGTGAGAAGAGGTCGTTGAATTGAATGGTTACAGATAAAAACATAAAAGCATCTTTACAAAAATGTATGTATTCTTTACAAAAATATTAAGTATGCAAAAAATATTAAGTCTATAAAAATATAGGTGTATACCTAAGAAAACAAAAAAAATACTTCAAAACTCTTAAGATACAAAGAAGGTAATTATGACCAAGATATTTGATAGGTGGGATGAAGTTCAAGGTTATTCTCTCACACTTCCTTAGGGAGTACTAAATCAGACATAATTTACCTAATTGCTCACGCTCACTTTTAATCTCGGTGGAAATGAGACTGCTTAAATTGCAAAGGTGATAAAGCTTTGAAAAACGTAGACAGGTGTGGTTCCTGGCTCCAGAGAGTTCCCCTTTTCCTTGTGCCTGCCATTCTCAGCATTACTCACACCTGCAGACAGAGGCAGGGCCTCCGGCTGCAGCTCCCAAGTGGAGCCAGGGCAGGGCTGGCTCCTTATAAAGAGCAGCTCAACCACAGACCAATCACCTTCCAGCTCACTCTGCCCCCACACTCAGGTTTCCGGCACTCCAATAATCGGGCCTCTGATTGACCTGTTTCCTGGTTCTGGTCCATCTCCCTCATGCCAGGACCTGGCTCCTGCACCTCACCCCCCTTTGGCGTGGCATTTAAGCAAAGGTTTTTCTTTCTCCACTTGGCTCCAGCCCCTGCCTCCACCATTTCCTCTCTGTATAATCCTTCTGCACACCTGCAATCAAGTTATTGCCCCAAAGGTGCTAAGAAACCAGATAGATGATCTGAGAAGGGGCACATTGTCATTCATTTTTTGGATTCATTAAAGAAGTCCAAGGGGACCCAAAGGGTGCAGAATAGATTAATTCTGGGGGGCAAAGGAAAGGGATTTATGGTCAGGAAAGCAGCAGGTCTGCACAGAGAGAGAGAGAGAGAGAAAGAGGGACAAAGAATGAGAAGGCTCAGGCATCTGCCAGGCAACATGAAGACAGAGGATTCCGAGTGAGCGGCTGAGGTGAAGAATGGAAGAAGCCCGTGAAACGAAG